TTTTTTTTTTTTTTTTTTTTTTTTGCTTCCTCCCTTTTCAATAATATCAAAAACATCCTAGTAGAGTTACATTAGTATAATTGATATTAACCATACACAACATCCTCAAGGGCTAGGTCAGGTCACTAAGCATTTTTTCGCTAAAATACTGCCTTTTTTTAGGGATTATGTAATACTCCATAAGGCACTATCTGTGCTGGGCAACATGGAGCCTGGGTCTGTGTAGGGAGCTGGTTTCCATGACTTAATGGGGTGCATCAGTGTGTCCCAGAGAAGTATACTCCACAGTGCTCATTTTCTTTCATGTTTCTGAGGTAAACAGTGCCCCTTGTTTAGAAGTTTGCATATATCAGTGATAACTGTAATAATTGATCTTGTTGAAAACCTGGGAAAGCAATAAGTTAAATAATACCTTCTCTGAACATGAGGTCCAGCACAGTTTTCTGACCTAAGCAAACTATACGGAAGGAGAGTTCGGTTTGTTCAGCTGTGTGGTCCTAGCAAGGACTGTGGTACTGGAAAACTAACCAGCTTACAGGTACTAGAGAAGCTGAATCGGACAGTGATCTGTAGATACCCAGTTTGGAGATGAAATTGCAACTCTGAATTCTTGATTGGCTACATAAATATGTTGGTAGTAAACAGACCCTGGGTAGTCAGGACTTGGGATGTGACAGTGCAGGAAATAGCTATACCTACACTTGCATTGGAGCTGCAATGATCTCCTACATGACGACGCTTGATCTCTTGAGGGCAATGAGAGGGTCAGAATCCAAGCTGTGATGCTGGTCTTTGTAATTTAATACTGTGGGTTGGCGAGTCCCCAGGCGACAGAAAGATGAGTGCTCAGAGTCTGCAGTATATCTCAGGCTCAAGGTCCCTTTCATAGAAAGTTTTCACTTTTCATTTTTCTATGAAATGAAACTACTATATGAAAATTGAAACATAGCTATTACATATGTAATCTTCACTGTATAATTTAATTTGCTTGCCAAGCAGTCACTAGGATTTAGTTTCTTTGTTTTTCTTTTTTCTCATCAGCTGAGAGAATGCTTTTGTATGCACAGAAATACTGCCTTCAGCTACATGCTACTTTAAACATTCCTAGAGGTGAAATGATTAAATTTCCAACCTTTTAAAATGTGGATTTTTCTGGCCACTTTTGTATCTCTTCAGTGGGTTTCTAATGAATGTAAGGGGAGAGCCAGGTCATAGTGAATGGTGTTGTGTTTGGTATGCTGAGGAAACTTGGGGACCAGTGTTTTAGAAAAGATTAGTTCTACACTGTCATGTTTCAAGTACCGAGTATTAATTGTTCTTGTCATACAGATGGCCCAGTGAACATCTCTGGTGGATTCCTTACAACCAACCTCTTGTTAGTAAATATACCATTAGAATGTTTTGTTTCTGAACTCCCTGATTTCCCCCTTTATAGGTCGGAAATGATGTTGATGGAAGACAACAACATTTGCCACTTGGAATTCTCACCTGCACACCAAAGAAGTACTGATTTTGTCATTTGCACCAGCTTCTTTCTCCAGGAAAGGTCAAAACAATGCACTCCAAGGGTAACATTCCAATTTTTAATACATGTAATATCCGTATTATTTTTGTTGTGTCATCAAATAACTTAGAATTGCTTTTACAAAGTCTGTTAATTCAAACAGTGTAAGGCATTAATAACCTGGTGAGTTATCCGAAGCCTCTCTTCCTCTCCTAGAATTTTTGCGCAATCAGAGACATCCCAGTAGAGTAATAAATTAGTACATTTTATATGCAGATACGTAGTGAGGCCTCCTTTCCTATGCGTGTTTGACAAATGTGCATGTATACTTCTCATCTTCCCGTATTTTTACTATATTTCCACAATTCCATGTAGACCAAAATGTGGATGTCTTATGAAAGAGTTTATACATTCCCCTTGAAATATGGCAGAAAGTATCAGAAATAATTACACCATTCCATGCTCACGGGCCAGTGGGAATTCTCACAGTAAGCATTTTGTCCAGAGATTGCTACATTCTTCTTAGGGAATTATAATATTCCAGTGATAATGGTAGTGAGCAATGTGGCTGTTTCATTGTTCCTATATCCTGGTCTGTATGACTTAACAGTGTGGTCATGGTGTCATCATGTCCAAGAGTGACAGAATCCTCAGTGTTTATTGTCTGTCTCCTATCTCAGGCTCATGGCTTCTTTTATAAACATGCTTGTATTGATGATGTCCTCAATATATTTTGGTAATCTGGACAAACTGAGCAATAAAATTGCTTCTCTGAAATTGATTTCAAGTAATATGAAAGGCCATGTTACACATTTACTGTAAATCTGAGGTAGGTTGTGATTATTTAAGGTGTATTTTATAAACACCCAGACCACTAATAAGAAAATAATTCAAAAAATATTAAAAGAACCACTAAAGAATTAAAATAGATTTAACAAAAAAGATGGCAGGTAAGGATGAACAGAGGAACCAATAAGACATAAGACATATAGAAAACAGATAGGAAAATGACAGACATAAACCTAGCCATATGGCAATTATATTAAAATTTTTAAAGAGATTAGGAAATTCCATTTTTTTTAAGAAAACATGAACAACTATATACTGTCTACAAAAAAGACACTTTAGAACAAAAGATACACATAGTTTGAAAGTAAAAAGATGGAAAACACTACATCCAAAGAATCCAGAAGAGAGCCTAAGTGGGTATTCTAACATGAGAAAAAAAGAGACTTTAAGATAAAGTATTGCTAGAGAGGAAGAAAGGTAGTATTTAATGATAGAAGGGTTAATTAATCTGAAATATATAACAATTATAATCACGTCAGCACTAACAACGCTGCCCCAAATTATATAAACTGAAAACCAACATGACTGGTGGGGTCAATAGACAATTTAACAATAATAACTTTTGTTTATATCCTCTTTTTAATCACTGATGAGTCAATTAGATAGGGCATCATTGAGGTTACGACGTACTTCCACAACCAATTTGACCTGAGATAGATGATACCTGACAGATAGATAGAGAAAACTCCACCCAACAACAGAATACAAATTATTTTCAAGCACACCTATAACGTTCTCCAGGATAGAGTATACGTTAGGCTATAAAACTGTACTCAAATTTAAGATTGAAACATTCTGGAGTATGTTGTGTGTCCCTAGAGGAATTAAATTAGAAGTCAACACAGAAATAAATTTGGAGGTCACAAAATATTTGGAAAATTAACACACTTTACAAAACCCATTGTTTAAAAAAATACCAAGTTCTCATTGCAAATACCCCTCAGTAACACCACGTTGACATTTTGATTCTCATTGGTTTCAGTGCTCATCTCTGTGAGGTTACCAGAAGATCCCATAGCAATATCACTCATTCTAAGTTTATCTGTGGGCTACACTGGGAACACTGTCTATGGGTTAGCCGTGCTCTGCAAGGAGTAGTAAAAATATATATATATTTTTTTGAGGCTGAGTCTTGTTCTATCTTCCAGGCTAGAGTGCAGTGGTGCGATCTTGGCTCACTGCAACCTCCACCTCCAAGGTTCAAGCGATTCTCCTGCCTCAGTCTCCCAAGTAACTGAGATTACAGGCACACACCACACCTGGCTAATTTTTGTGTTTTTAGTAGAGACGGGGTTTCACCATGTTGGTTAGGCTGGTCTCAAACTCCTGACCTCAGGTAATCTGCCCACCTTGGTCTCCCAAAGTGCGGGGATTACAGGCATGAGCCACTGCACCCAGCAGTAAAAATAAATTAAACAACTATGTTTGCAGCCAGTGGGGAATTGTTTTAACTAGGCAATAATTTGATCTATTTTGGGAAGCATCTTGTAATCAAATCATAAATCAACATTAATCATATGGTAAGTCCTCCATGGTTTTCATTCCTATAAACTCTAGGATGTTTGAGATTCTCTGCTTAGCTTATAGAAGCAAGGTACTGGGTATCAAGAATGTTTAAACAGTTTCTCCTTTTTGGGAACAAAGATGATATTGGGCTGGAATGAGATGTGTGATTGAGAGAATGTCCCTGAGGCCTCAGCAGTATGACCTGTTGGGTGTGGGCATTGGAAGAGTGTAGTGAATTCTTATAAATTTATGTTGCCTCTGCATCCAAATCTTGAGTATAAGTTTAACTTTCTTATACCAGAAGCGAGGCTTACTCACCTTTGCACAGTTTCCAGTTCTACAACTCCTCCCAGTTCCTCAGTGTGGTTGGTCCAGATATCTGCCTTATCCAAGTGCCTCCTTTGGACCACTTCACCATGGGACAGCTTGATGCAATCTACTTGACTGGCCCTTTGATCACCACGCCCCTCATGGAACCATTGTCCACCTCCCAGTCACAGTGTGACCTCAGGGAACTCATGCCTGCTTGCTTTAACCCCATCACTTAGAAGTCTCCGCAGAAAACCTGTTTGCATAATACCCTTGACCCAATAAGGGCATTGGCCCATGGGTGTCTCTCTCTCTCTGTCTTTTTCTCTGTCTTCCCCCTTTCTCTCTCTCTCCCCCTCTCTCTCATGCTCCCTGACCTCTGTGTGTGGACTCCGGGCATTCCATGTACCCCTCAGGACCTGTAAGTATTACCATCTTTATTTTTATCTTGTATCTCTTCTAATAATTGAAAGGGTGCTCTCTATCTTGAAGATACTATATTAAATAGAATGGGAATTTGTCCCTAATACAGTTATTCTCAGGCTGAAACACCCTGTTTGCACTCTTTACCCATTTAGTGATTTTTCTCAAGTTAGTGTACATCATGTATTATCAACATAATTGATATTGTAGGATGGAATTATAACATACTTCCTTTGACACAGAAAGTTCTATTGGACACAGATTATCTAGTGCTACTACATGTATGCTAATTTATGATAAATGTGTAGATGTGATAAAAACAACATTTATAAAATATCTGTCTTAGAAATGTTAGCTAAAATTATTTTGGGAAAAGTATGTTTGAAAATAGAATTGTAAGCTACCATATTGTGATAAATATTTCTAAATTCGTTTATTGTCAGAAAGCAACAAAATTAATTAAAACAGTAGCCTCATTTAAATATGTTTTTATTCAGAAATGCATGTTTTATTGTATGTTTGTGGCTTAACTTTTTTTGTAAAGTTAAAACTTTATTATACTTTTTACATGAATCTGCAATTTCAAGATATTTTAATGGTTGATAGGCACAGGACAATTGAAGAAAACCTGTAAATATATTTGGTAAAATTTATGATGCAGTGTTTTGCAGATGGCTTCAGAGAGTATTATCACATCTGTTTGAGATATGCTCAGTTTTACATTTGTCTCTTAGGTAATCAACAAGGCTGAGATCAGTAAATCATATGTAAGCCACTGTGTAGTTATGAAGCTATTCTGAAAATAGGCATATCAATTTATCATATCTAGACTTTCAAGTTATATTGATGTTGTTGAAAATGATTTTGTATTACATGTGTTCTTCCAAATCATAGGTCAAAATATTTTATTCATGTATGTCTTTTAAATGAAGGGTGGTTAGGATAGTCCTGATTATTGCACATGAATATTCTCTTTCACTAGATTATTGTTTGGGGGCAAATTTTAGACTACTATTTTTTTAAAAAAGGGTAACTTAGTTTAATCCAACCTTTTCAGATAGTTAGAAATTATCGAAATGTATATTTTTTTGTAAAGATGGTCTTGTGAAAATCGTTGAGCTAGAAACATGTCCTTTATTAGTGGAATTCTTAGAAGCTTTCCTTGGGCTTCACTGGGTGGTAATAGACTGTGATTGTATTGTGCTGTATATAATTGTATAAATAATCTATATCCCATTATCCCATTCAGGAGATAGAATATTTGTATTACTTTATTATTTGATAAAATATTCCCATTCTATTATAATACCTAGTCTTAATAGAACGGGAATATTTTATCTTACTAACATAGTTATTACCTGGCCACTCTCTGTGTCCATAGGACCTTACAGGGTAAAGGGAGGGCAGTGTGTATTTAAAGTCTGTGCATGTGACACACAAAGGGCTTAGCGACATCCCTTTTTCCCAGCACAGGATACCCACACTTCCTGAATATTTTGTTGTTAAATTAGATTTTGTGTGTGTGTGTGTGTGTGTGTGTGTGTGTGTTTATATGTATATGTGTGGTTTATATGAACATATAGATGCATGTTTATATGTGCATTTTTTTTTCTTAAAATGTTATTGTTTCTCTTTTTCTTTTATGTCAGTTGATGATAGAGCCTAGAAGGGAAGGGAAACTGTTCATGTCCTTGCCTTAACTTTCAAATATGATAAAAACAACATTTATAAAATATATGTCTTAGAAATGTTAGCTAATATTATGTTAGGGAAAGTATGTTTAAAAATAGAATTTGGGGCCGGGCGCAGTGGCACACGCCTGTAATCTCAGCACTTTGGGAGGCCGAGGCAGGTGGATCACGAGGTCAAGAGATCGATACCATCCTGGTCAACATGGTGAAACCCCGTCTCTACTAAAAATACAAAA